CCATTTGGCCAAACTACACGTTGACTAGACCTTGAGCTTTTTATCCTCAATTTTTTCTTTATAAAAGCAAAGATATATCCATCTAGTTAAGTTATACACTCGTCCAAGTTATGAGCTTTTCATGCATAGTTTTTTTTTAATTCATTATGGAAATATCTTGTCCATCTTGCCAAGTCATGAGCTCTTCATGCCTAGTTTTTTTTTTTTTTCTAATGGCAATGCAATATCCATCTATCTAAGTCGTGGTCCGACTAGATTGTGAGCTCTTCATGCTCGGTTTTTCTTTCTAATAGCAATGTCATATCTATCTAGTTAAGCTACACACTCGCTTAGACCGTTATCTTTTCATACTTAATTTTTCTTTTTAATGACAATGTCATATCCATCTCGTCAAGTCGTACATCCTTAATTTTTCTTTTTATTGGTAATGTCATATTCATTTTGTAAGGTCATGAGCTTTTCATGTTTAGTTTAGTTTTTTTTTTTTTTAATAACAATGCCATGTCCATTTGGCTAAGTTGTATGTGGACATGGTGTGATCCTTGCATGATTAGTTTTTATTTATGGCAATACAAGTTCAACTAGCCAAGATATACCTTGGCTAAATTGTTACCCTTTTATGCTAAGTTTGTCTTTATAATGACAACATCATATCCTTCTAGCCAAGCTACACATTGGTTAGATTGTAAGCATAAAAATTATTTTTAGTACAAGGAAAAAAAAAAACTAAATCTCATCTTTCCCACTCGAGCATTAAAGAAAAATTTCTTGTCTTCTTAATAATTAATCTATAAAAATCTTGGTGAGAAGCCATGAGTGCTAAAAAACTATTGTCTCTTTACATTATTTTGTCTATATCAAAATGGATCTCCTAAGTATTTTCTCAAAAGAATGGCATTCAAAACTCCACCAACTTTGAGACTCATCCATACATGTGCTATTTTTGAAAACCTTATATGATGAGATCTAATGTTGCTAAACATAAATTTGTTATCCGACATGGTACTCGAGAGCTACCCGCTTGTCAAGTAGCTTTCCCATTTATACTTCATTAATTTTTTTTTATCAAATTCAATAGATACAAGAAGTGATGGCACAACGTAGTTTGACCAGATCAATATAATTAGTAATTTTTTTGAACTAATCAATTATGTGAAACAAAAAAATCATTTAAAAAAATGAAAATAAAAACTTATAGTTGATTTCCTCATATTGTTGGCATTGTAAAGTGGTCGGCACTTAACATTTGCTTTTGGAGAGCCTAATTGGCCGGGACTAACCATCTAACCTATTGTGTTATAATGATGCAACAACTAATAGAGCCTTTCATTTAGTATAAGGCTTTTATAACGTTGCATAAAAAAATAAATTCCCCTCTTTACCATTAGCATAAGATTGTAGTATAGATGGTATCCAATCAGTTGGTAACTCTCGAGTGAAATGTGCTCAAGTGAAAGCAATTTAATGATGGTTAACCTTTTAAGAATTTACAAATGTGACATGGATGATGAAGCCATAACAACTCTCTAAGTCATATTATGACTCTATGTCGACTAACTAAGTTCTAAATATCAACCGTTATTAGTAATGTGCACCACTATAATAATCAACAATATCATACCTAACGTTAAAAAAACCCATCATAATTGGCATGAACCAATAATGGAAATGCATGCACAACCATTATAGTCAGCAATGGCATACCCTAATGATAGAAATGCACACCAAAAGTGGCATGGACCAAGCAATGAAAATGCACCAATAATGGAAATGTGTCTACAATGTCAAGTAGAAGTAGTGTAGTGCACTTATTATGACACTAGTGATAAGTGACAAGCACGTCTTCCATCACAAAGGATTGACGAGTGGCATGTTGCTTGAAATGACAAAAGACAAGAATATGATTAAAAAAGGAATAAAGTGGCAAGGCTAAATTCACATGGCTAATTAATGACCAAAATAGAGTAGCAAGACCAAATTTGTATGGTCGGTCAATGAACAAAATCGAGTTGCAAGTGCTAAAAGGATGTGGTTAGTCGGAGACAAAAATGGAATGGCAAAACTAAATTAACATTGTAGATCAATGACTAAAATAAAATGACAAGGCTAAATTGATATGGCTGGTCAAGAATCAAAATGGAGTGGCAATGAAAAATTGGTATGGTTAGACAAGCTATAAAATAGAATGTTAAGGCATGGTTTAAAAACCAAAATGTAGTGATAATGCCAAATGAATATAGTTAGTTAGAGACCAAAACGAAGTGTCAAGGCCAAACTAGCTTAGCGGATCCAGAACCAAAATAGAGTGAAAAGGCTAAATTAATGTGGCTAGTGAGAGATCAAAATATAATGGTAAGAATAAATTGATATGGTCGGGCAAGCACTAAAATGGAGTCTTAAGGCCAACCGGTATGATTGGGTCGGGACCAAAATAAAATGGTAAGGTTAAATAGATTGGTTAGGCATAAACCAAAATGGCAAGTAGTTGCAAGTATTAGTGTACTTGTAATCACAAATAGTGGCAAATGGCAACACATCCGCCATGACCAAGGATTGGTAAGTGGAATAGTTCCTGGCTTGATAAAATACTAGCATGTGGTAAAAAAAAAAAAAAAATGACAAGACCAAATTGATGTGGTCAGGTTAGAGAATAAAATAGAGTGGTAAAGGTAAATTGACTTAGTGGGTCAAGAACCATAATAGAGTGACAATGCCAAATTAATATAGTTGGTCGGATACCAAAATAGAATGTTAAGGACAAATTGACATTGTTGGTCGGGGACCAAAAAATAGAGTGACAAGGATATGTTTGTATAGCTGGAAAAGGACCAAAATAGAATGACAAGGTCAAATTGATATAGTTGGATTAAGACCAAACTAAAGTGGCAATACTAAATTGATTTGATCGGACATGACTAAAATAAAATGACAAGGCTAAATTGATGCGGCTTATTAGAGATGAAAAATAAAATAATAAGGCTAGATTGGTATGGATTGACAAGAAAAAAAAAAAAGAGTTATGCACAACTATTTTGCTTGACCAATAATAATAATAAAAAAAAACAATGCAACCACTCGTTAGCCAAACGTGTTGGCAAGAAAAACAATGGGCAACATTGTGCTAGCAATAACATTCAAGGGCCAATAGCATGCCGACGAGACATAATTTGATCGGTAGCGTTTTAGCTTGACTAGTCATGTGTAGGATGTTGGTCGTTATCCCTTCATTAAAAAAAAAGAATTACATGAAGTTTATCTTTTATTTTGTCACATGTTGTGAAAGACAAAGTCATGCTATTTTGTTATTTATTTTCTTTCTCAAGCCGAGCCTATGCAACAAAAAGGTTTTCCGAAAGTTAGGGTTTCTCTTTTTGTATGGATATTTGATGGAGATAGAAATTTTTATAATACCTTTAATGAATTCTTTTTGGTTTGAAAAGTCAAGGAGGACGAGTATATGAGGACAAATGGATCATAATTTTTTTTCTTGTTAATTATGATTAAAAAAAAAACTTATGTTGCTTATAGATGTATAAGCATTTATTTTCAATTTGTTAAGTAAGGAGGTTCATGCAAGCCTTGTCGAACAATAAGGCTCATGACGAGCTTGCAAGTAGTTACTATATATTAAAAAGCTTACGAGTAAGCCTATCACATGTTTTATTTATTTCTATATGTTAAAACACTCACTATAAACCTACTACAATCACTCTTATACATATGATAATATCATCTTGTAGGTGGTATACGAGATGAATGCAAGTTCATCTATTTTGCAAGTCGTTTATTCTAGTTCTTTTTTTTTTTCTAATTTTATTCTTTTTCTTTATCACTAAACAAGGTTGCACAAACTTCTTTGTTCGTAAGACTATTTGTGTAGAGGGACTAAATACATGCTTAATTTGTCCATAAAAATTTATTAAAATTTTAATTAATTTTATTAAGCACTGTTATATATATATATATATATATATATATATATATATATATATGGTTTTGGTATGTGTCCAATTTACACAATTAATGGATTGGAATAGGATTGAGTCTCGTCCAACATAGGCTTGGGATCATGCAAAGATTGACATGGGTATTCGGTAAGGTTAGTGTTCATGTCTTATCTTTGAGATGCATTAGGGAGATTGCATTGGCGAGGCTTAGAGCGAGGATCCGTTAAAAAAAAGATCCAATTGTTACTTTTTTAAACCTTTGTTAATAAGTTGAAGCAATGTAATTCAAAAGAATCAAATATTTGAACGTCTAAATATGGATGACGTGATATAATTTTAGCAATCAAGCACCATTGTCATTGCACTATGAATACCAACCTCATATGATGGTAGCTTTAACTTTTTTATCTTTAGCAAAACTTTTGAACTCTTTCCCTCTCTCTCTTTCTCTCTCTCTCTTTTTTCCCTCAAAACTCTTCCACTCATATAATAGACATCATCTAAAGATTCATCTCGTTTGTACTTTGAACTTCACTTATATGCCACTCGACTTGCATCTTGTTAACATTGCATGTTGCTCCTCCCACATTTATTACTACTTGCATCAATTATATTTGATTAGTTGATCGTTACTTCTATAAGTTACAAAACTAGCTCTATGTATCTTGACTCCTCCCCCACATAGTATAAGGCAAGTGAATAATTATAATAAATTTTATATAATATTCTTTACTTGATTATATTTTAGTATATTATAATCTTCTACATTAATACGACTATAAGAGAAAAAGGAGATATACCAAGTATATTGAATAGTTTCTTTAACTGGGAAAGCTAGGTAAGAAAACGAGGGCTATTACCCCATCGAATAATTTTTATACTTCTTATTTTAGTTCTTACACTTTTAATTTTTTTAATACAATTAAATATAAAAACGCATCAATTGTACTTCCATAATTTTCTTGTCTCTTATCTATATAAAAAAAAAAATGCCCCTTAGTAGGTAATGTTACTATAGCTTCCCCACTTAAAATGATTGCTAACATGCATAAGTTGAAGCTATCTAAGGTTTGAATGCATTTATTTGATTTTTCGCCATTAGCATTCGAGCTCCATTTGTTTAGCAAAAAACAACTTTCAATAGGAAAATCAATTCTAGAGAAACTATTTTCTAGGAAGTTATTTTTCAAAAAAATATTTTCCGATGTTGTTTTTCAAAAATATATTTTCCGATGTTTGACAATTACATGAAACAAATGCTGAAAAATATATTCCAGTGTTTGAATTCAAATACAAAAACAGTCGTGTTTAGTACATCAATGAGTTTTGAGGAAACTTCAATAATTCATATTCACAATTTCACAATATAAGATGCATTTAGAAAATTTTAATAAATTTTTATAAATACCGACTTTAAGATTTAAATTCAAAAAAATAAAAAAAATAAAATGTATATTTTTAACCATCAAACCAATTCATCAAAACTACTTAGGACAAAATCAAGTCAATATTCACATTTAGTTAAAAAAAAAAAATTCTAAGTAACCCTAGCATTGATATTTTGGTAACTCGGTTAAGAATTTTTTTTTTTTTTTTAAAAAATTGAGCTTACAATTTAGTCTAAAAAATAGTTTTACAAATTATTAGTTATCATTTATAGATAATTATTCATTTGGTTTCAAAAGATTAATATTGAAATAATTTATAACTAATTATTGACTACAATTACCAACAAAATTTTATAAATGATTAAAATTAGTCACAAATTATTGATTTAGTTGCAAATGATATAGTATTGAGAAAATAATGTATTTATTTATTAATTAATTAGTTTCAAATTTTTCAAAAATGATTGCAACCTTATGATAATTATTTTCAATTAGTTAAGTGTAGTTTAGGTGATTTTTGAGATACGGGAAAAAAAATAGAGATAAATTATTGAAATATTTATTAAAAAAGTAATTTTAAGGTGTAAAAATAATTTTTAAAAATTTCTAATGTATTTATAAATTAAAAAAATCAAATGTTAGTAGAAATAGAGAAAAAATAATTAAATAATTGATAAGAAATAATTAAAAATTAATTTGATATATTTTAAATAAAAAAGAGATAGAAAAAATTTGTTAAAATATATCAAGAAAGAGATGAGTAAAACGAGAGCTCATGAGAGAGAGGAAAAATGTTTTTTTTTTTTTAACTCAGAAAATACTTTTTCAAAAATACTTTACTATTTTTTGTTAATTTGTTTCTAAATGAGAAAGAAATATAAAAAAAATAAGTTACTAAAACTTATCTTCTTTCAAATAAACACAATCTCAGTGATCTTTTATTTTATACGATCGAGCACATAGCTCTTCTCAAAACGGAAAAAATTATATGAGCCGACACTTAAAACAAAATGTGAGACTATTCCCATTAAACAATTAGCATTGCTGTCTATGTATATTGTAAATTTCTCGTATCGAAGAGAAAATGACTAAAGCCCTACAAGAGTCAAATATAGCTGCAAAGATAGATAGGTTTACAAGACTTTTATACTGCTACTTTCTTTCTTTGTTTTGAACTCTGATGGGTTTTGGAGAAACAGGAACCACATAGGAAATGAAACTGTTACATTGCAGTGCGGACACCCATCATGACGTGTGTCTCGAACCAATGTAAAGCAATCAAGAAACTTGGGAAGGAAAAAAAAAAAAAAGAACAACACATGTCCGTGTTCTGAGATTCAAAGCAAAGGCTTGCAAAGGCCGCCTCATTTGGCAAACTCCAATAGCAACACGTTTTAATGTCATATTTTTTATAAAAAAAATATTTTGTTCAGTCAAGCACGTTTCATGTCCCATTAGCATATATTTACAAAGCATTGATCAAATCTCATCTAGAACCACAAAAAACATAGACAATTCAATGACCCATTACCCTAACAAATCCGAAACATTTCGTTTTCTAGAATTTTATTCACTGTTTTGGTTTCCACTCTTAATTTTGTTTGCTGGTCCTTCGTAGGGTCCATTAGTCAAGGAGATCCTTTGAGTAATTAAGTTGAATTCTATTGAGTTAATTTATTTGGTCATGATCTTTATCTCAATCGATTGATGTGAAGTTAGTACACTATTCCTACATAGTGTCTACGATCTACTAATCTGAACTCATCAACCATGTATCTGAATGACTCATAGATATTTTCACAAATAATCTAATTTTTGGTCATATAGATATCAATTTTTTGGAATTAATTATATTTTCCCTTTACAAGTTCTTGTCACATGGTTACAAATATACAATTTCATTTTGGAAAAAAAAAATGTGACGTGTTACAGCGTGTGAGATATTTATATATTTTTCACGTAAAAATATAGCTGTAATTATTGAGAAATTATTAGCTATGAATATTAAGAATTGTTACCTCTTTCCTCACATAAACATAAGATTCAAAAAAATTCCATATTGAGAAATTATTAGCTGTGAGAAATTATTAGCTATGAATGTTAAGAGTTGTTACCTCTTTTCTCACATAAACATAAGATTAAAAAAAATCCCATGATCATATATATATTACTATGAGCATATTTCTTTTCACACTCTTTCCTAGAGTTAATTACATTTCTGATGTAAAAGAAAGTATCATTTTTTTTTCTATTTGAATTTGTTAATTTTAATATTTTTTATTTGAGTATATTAAGTTATAATTTTTTTTATTTGAGTGGTTCCGTTAAACACGTGATTCCAAATTTTGGATCTACTATCACACGAGATAGCAATTTGTTGTATAAACTTATCAATTTTTTATTTGAATTTACCAAATTGTAATTTTTTTCTATTTAAATGGTTCCGTTAATTTTAGATTGATATGTCTATTAACTATACACGTGACACAATTATATAAATCATATTGGTTGGCATGCAACAATTAAAAACTTCATGCCACCATATCCAAATTAAAATTTTTGAAAATTATTTACCAAATGTTTATATCTATAAATAAAAAAGTAAAATACTGCTACAGTAATAAATATATAAAATTAAATAAAAAATTTATCAAATCAATTTATCTTAATCAAGTTAGATTCAAGCTATCCTTCAGTCTAAATTAAACTCAATTTCTCATTATCATTTTTCAAATAAACACTATTTGCTTTAAGTCCAATGGCCAATATTCAAAATTTCACTTCCTCATCTCTCAAAAAGAACACAAAACCATCCTGCCACATTTTACAATTTGCAAATAAATTCAATGACTATGCACCACCACCAACAATTACCACATCTATCAAACAGTAAACTCATGCCCACCACCAATTAAAAAAAAAATCACCACCATATTAGAATTGACAGCTACTACAAAGTATTTTTTTGTTTTAAAGAAATTTAAGACAAATTGAAGAACTACAATTACTGATGTTAGAAGATAACATAGAAAAGAAGAAGAAGAAGAAAAAGATAGAATCTAGCAATTTTCAACGAACCACTACTACTCCACCACCGTAAACTTCCAATCATCACAAAAAATGAGTTCTACCCGTCCTAGAGCTTGTCATTGTCCATTTCATTTGATTTCAAAATATAAATTGGCCAAATGTACATCATGCAACGCATTCAATAAATTTAATATTTGGTTAAACTTTAAATATGAAAAATTTTGCTATGAAATTTGGTGTTTAGGGTTTAGTTTTTCTATTGAGAATAAGAATAAATCATTACCTTAGTGAAAGAAACCAACCAAGAATTTTTGTTTTAATTTTTGATTAATTTTTTTGTATTTGGTTATTTTTAAGTAATTGCGTCTTTTAAATAAAATTATTTTTATGTAAAGCCATAAATATCTTATTGTTGTTATATAATTTATTTATTTTTGTTGTTGTCTACGAATGAGAATAGATCATTACTTTTTAATATTTATTCAATTTTTAAATTTTTTTCAGTTGTCATGCGTGTGACAATAGAGCCATATGATGGTGATACATGTGCAATTAACATATACATCAACCTAGAGTTAATAGAGCCACTTAAATAAAAATAAAAATAAAAATTACAAGATGGTACACTCAAATAATAAAAATTAAAGTTTATACAATTAAATAAAAAAATTTGACCAATTGTATACTAAATATGTAATAAACTCCTTTTTTTTTTTTTTTTTTTTGTCTTGTCGCAATGTGTATTACAGTGAAGTTCATTATTTGGTATCATGTGTGTAGTTAATTAGCACATCAATATAAAATTAACAAAATTTAACAAAATCACTCAATTAGAAAAAAAATTATAATTTGACATACTCAAATTGTAAATTTAAAATTGATACATTAAAAAAAAAAAAGCAACTTCGTATATTAAAAATATAATTAACTCCTCTTTCAAATGTTAACTCAAAAATATTTTACGAAATGATGGATCTACCCTTTTTATAATAGTTGAAAGAATTAAATATAACACACGCACAACAATGTTTTTCTCCGAGAAAGAAACTGGGGTTTCCAGTTTGACCAACATGACTATATTAAGGTTGGACCTTATGTTAGAAACTACGATAGGTATAAGAAGCTTAGGTTTTTCTTCAATCACGGCATGTTTGGTTGAATGCAATTGATGGTATACCGTAAAGTAATGTTTATTATTTTATTATATTTGGTAGTGTAATTTTTAAAATTATATATAGTATGATGGACGATTATAATTACGATGACTCATTACATTACATGTATTACATTAAAAAAAAAAAAAGATTATATAATGAGCCATTACATAGATAAGGGTAATTATGCAAGGACTTAATTGTAAAAAAATTCACCATAAGAATTAAAATGTAATTTCAACAAATGTAAGGATCAGAAAACTTTTAGATAAGCACCAATTTTTAGTATTACCAAGGAAATACGTGGGAGATTTGTCTAGTACTAGTATAGATGATTAATCGTATTCTACTTTACCTAATCAGAAGTGAAGAACCTTGTTTTTATCTCTGTCTATTTTTGCCCAAAAAAGCGCTGTCTCCTAGTCTTCTTTGAAGAGTTTTATTTTAATCCAATGGACGGAAAAGCATTTGCTTTTAATGAACTAATCTCATTTCAAGAGATAAAAATATAAATATTGTAGAAAGTTTATTAACCTAAGGTATCTAAATTAAATTAAAGGACATGCTAATTCAAAATAATAAAATATTATCAAAATCCACTATGCACACTCTGTAGACATTTCAATGCGCGCATAATACATTACATAAACTTCATGGTATAATAACATATTCGGTACTTTTGGATATTCTGTTTTAATTAATGGACTAGGAAAGACAAGGAGACTGCGATCTTGTGGCAAATTGTACCATGAAGTATTTTATTAGTTTAAGTTTTTATTTTTTTTCCTTACACCAAGAAATTATCGAACCAGTACAAACAATTTGTTTAATTTGTCTGTAAAAGGGGCGAGAGACATGCTTTTCCAATGTTTTCAATTTCTTAATCGAAGACACAGACTTTAAGGAAGTTCGATGGAAACTCCAATAGTGGGTTTACTTCTACAAGCTACTTCTTTTGAAAAGTTGTTACTCAAGTACAGTATTCTAGGTGAAGCCGATTGTGGGCTATATATATAAAGAATAATTCGGAACTGGTTTGCAACTTGCTTCGTCCCTTTTAGCTTCACGACTCCAATGCCTGCTCATCTTTTGTACTTGCAATAATATACATATATATATATATATATATATGCTTTTCTGAGTTTGTTTCTCTTACTGCATGAGAGTGGATGTCATCATGTCATCTTTAAAAAAGAGCTTCACAAGTCCTAAAGAAGATGTTGCTGAACTGAGGAGAGGGCCATGGACTCTTGAAGAAGACACTCTCCTTGTTCATTACATTGCTCGTCATGGCGAAGGCCGATGGAATTTGCTAGCTAAACGTGCAGGTATAGTTAATCCTTTGTAATCGAACATCATGCATACAGTAATACACAATACTGAATTGATATTTGTTTATAAATTTATATATATTCCCCTGAATTGTTGATCTATAGGGTTAAGGAGAACCGGGAAGAGTTGCAGATTGAGATGGCTAAACTATCTAAAGCCAGATGTTAAGCGAGGAAATCTTAGTCCACAAGAACAACTCTTGATTCTTGACCTCCATTCCAAGTGGGGCAATAGGTATGTTTTTCTTGATTATTTCTTCTTCCATATATCCTTCTGTTCATGTTGAGGCTATCAACTTGCCATTAGAGTAATGCTATATTTTGGATATAGATAGACATTAAAGAGTAGGGCCAATAAGTCATAACTAGATTCATCCTACCATATGATATCTTTCATAATCAATTGAGCAGAAAAGTATGTTGAATAAGCATCCACTGATCACATCATGTGATTCTAATCCTTTACATCAGGCATTATTTCTTTCCCCCCTGTTGGCATTGCTTTGAAAGTTTGTGCTTTTCAGTAATTAGCCTCAACTTCTAGTTATCTCATTTTCAATAGAACAACCAATGAAAGTAGAGCTCATACATGGCGTACTTGGGTTGTGTTCAATTTGAACACTCATTCGTTTCTTCTTGAAAGCGATGTTCATGACCATTGGCTTGCTCATACATGGCATAGGTGGTCAAAAATTGCACAACATTTGCCAGGCAGAACTGATAATGAAATCAAGAACTACTGGAGAACTAGAGTGCAGAAACAAGCAAGGCACCTTAAGATAGATGTCAATAGCACAGCATTTCAGGATATAATTAGGTGTTTTTGGATGCCAAGATTGCTTCAAAAGATAGGAGGATCATCAACTTCTTCATCAGCCATGCCATCCCTAAGCCCAGCAGTGTCTCAGCCCATCCTCAATTATGCTCCTCAGCTTTCTTCAACGTTCACACCAGCACTACCTCCATTACAACAAGAAGCTCATCTTGACGTGAGTGTGACAATGCATGGTTTGGAGCATCATGACCAAACCTCAGACTCAGAGCATGGCACAAGTTCATGCATTTCTTCTGCAGAATCAATGAATGTCTCACACATGTCTCAATTATCAGAATACCCTACAAGTCCCTTTCAAGCTTTAGGTAACAACAGTGACTACAGCACCTTGGTGAAGGATGGCTATTACGTTGACAGCAATTGCTATGACATGGAAGCCATCGACCTAGCAACCATGTCAATGCCCGGAGAGCTTGGAATATCAGCTGGCGATCGCCACATGGCAGATGATAATTGGGCTGGATGCGATTTTGGAGATACCATGTGGAACGTGGATGAATTATGGTAATTTAAGAACTTGCAAGGAAAGGAAATTTAAGGTCTTGTTTTTGGAATAACCCACAAATACTTAATCAAGAATGAGACAAATATATATTTCTTGGATTAGTTGTGTAATTGTGTGATAATCAATTGTTAATTTTTGTACCCAATATGTTGAAGTAGCTGTGGATTTTGGTCTTATGTAAACATTTATCAATGTCAAGACATTTCATAAAACTTTCTGTCCCTACAATCCTAAGACAAACTAATATAACTTCTGTTAAGTGCTTTGTTCCATGAGTTTCAGTGATATAAAGTCAGAGTAGTAGTGGGATGGTGGAGTTCAGGAATCATTACCTTATTCAACATTTTTCTCATACAACTTGGAAGATCAAATGTTGAGTCAATTTTTTGAGTGAGAAAAAGAGATGTGCTGGCTAGCTTTTGTTGTACTTCAATTTTCAAATGATACAGCCACTTGAAATTCTAATAATTGGAGCTCTGATTTTTTAAATGAAATCAAATCCATGGTAGTAGTTTCTACCAACTAAAAAATGAGGCAATTCCAGGAAACAGAACTCTCAAATTTGAGACATTTTTTAGGACTTTACGGTTCGAAATGAAAGCCACCAACCTATGAGAGGATCTAATTAAAGGATGACTCATTTGTAATTGATGGATGGGAAGTACTTTGTCATCATCTTTCTAAGTGATTTAACTTGACCAGGCGTCATGTTGAAAATACTTGCACCTTGAATAACCCATTTAGCCATCTATAGTACTCTTACCCACCAACCCATTTTGCAAGAACTTGCATATGCAAACAACTAGTTAATTATCCTTCCGTTAAACTAATCGGGGAGCCGATCACCTTGTCTGTTTTGGCTCTTCGAATGACCCTTATTTTTGAGTTTGGAATCTCCCTCTGTTTGATATTAATTTTTTGAAACCTTAGCTTTGTCTCGCTCTTATGTACCCAAAAAAAAAAAATGACTTAAGCACAATGGATGTCGCTGAGACTAGTAAATTTTAGTTGATCAGCGTATCTAACTATCTTGGTCATCTAGCCATGCGGACAAGATATAGTGAAGCAAGATATCTCATCCAATGCTTCAAGCTTATCACGGAATCATCACATGTTCAATTATTTCACTATCAATAGGAGAATATAGTCGGCTAACTAACATTGACCGGAAAATGAAAGCAAAATGCCATTTGGAGCCACCTATAATGAATTGACATATTCAGTCTCTGATAAATGAATGCATTGCAAGGATCCAGTTTGCACGAGAGAGAGAGAGAGACTTAATTTTACGATAATTGGAAAAGGATAGCCTGGACCTATAAGAAAGATTCTAATTAATTAGAATTAGTTGACTGGTCAGGGCACTCTCCACCATAGATTATTAAAAATCCAACCATGCTAGTGTGTGTGTGCCTATATATATTAAAAAAATAAACTAAAATGTCAAGGAATTCTACTTTTCTGTTGGCTAACGTATTTGAAAATTTTGGAGATTATGCATGGTGATGACTTCACTAGTGTGACCTCACAGTGGATTATCTGGTATTATATTGAAATTAATACATCTGATAATTAAGAATAGAGTTATGAGAATAAAAGTATAAGTTTTATTCTTATATTGTTGCTATTTGGTTAAAAGTAATGAAGTGAGAATGAGAATAAAAATTTACACATAATTTTATTCTCATATTAAATATGGTAATAAAAATAAGGAATGTGAATGAATTTTTTTTCAAAATAATAATATATTTTATTTATTAACTAAATTTACTACCAAGCACCATCACTATCATCACAACTATTACCACCACCAAGCACCATTACTATCATCACAACTATTACCACCACCACCACTATCGTAACCATTACCATCACTAGAATCACCATTGTCATAATCACTACCACCATCACCTTTATTATTTTTACTACCATTATAGTTTGATAAAATTAGTTTTTTTAATCATTATTTTTATTTGTGTAAAAAACAAATATTAAAAAATTTAAATTACTTTTCAACTACTCATTTGTATTCCAAACATAGTAGTGGAATACAAATGTCATTCCGATTCCTTAATTTTTATTTCGATTCTTGCATTTTCATTTCGGATTTTTCATTCCTTATAACCAAATGATACTTTAAAGAAAAGTCCTAAATGTAGCATTTTAGGAGACTTTGTGATTCAAAAAATTAACCCATTAATTGGTTTAAAAACAAATAAAAGGAGACAGACTTATTATTTACATAAATCAACAACTAATAAAAGTTATGTATATCAAAATGTTGGGGTAGAGTTAGAAATTAATATCATGATGCTTTGAGAGCATTATGAAATATATATATATTAATAATTTGTTAAGTGTTAATATGAAATGGAAAAATTTTAAAATACTTCGAGAGTAACTACTTAATATCAATATTGTGCATTTATAATTTTTGTACGAGGATCAAAACTCAATATATTTGATGAATGAAACTAATTAGAATTAAATTAATGTATAATCTTTCAGAAAAATGACATCAAAATACTTTAAATTAGTTTGTTTCCTTACCATCCAAACCAGACTAGTGGATGTCAAGTTACCATTGGGATAGCAAAAAAGTAAAACTATATCACTGGATCGAATTAATTCTTTTGTTCTCGAGGAAGTAACCATTATACAATTTAAAACATTTTAAAAAGACCATAATTAAGTCACAATTACTCCTGAAGCAGAAATCCCTGTACAAAAATAATTTACAATCGAAGATAAAAATCTATCCCTATCAATGAATATCGAATATCAAGTTCAGCCTCTCTCTGGAGACATTAGAAAATGGTGATCTGTTTCTTCTTCTTGCTTTACATTCATAATTATTATGAGCTGAATTCGTCATAGTTTTTCTCAGAAAAACGAAAAAGATGATACATGCTTAATTTCCTCAATATATAAAGAGCCCCTTAAATGAAATCACACACAAATGAACATCACGGGAACAGTTGATTATTCGGTGCATCACAATCTTAGACAGCTCAAAACTCACACCTAAACACGCGTGTATCTGACATAGGTTTATCTAAGTTTCATTAACTCTTGAAAGTTACTTATAAAAAGCACATGAAAAGATTCAGCTTCTGCATATTGTCCTATCATTAGTCATTGTCTTATTGATACGTGAAGAGGCTGAACTCTCTCTTCTCCTCTTTCGCTATCCCTCAGTCTCGGTCTCTTGTAGCTGGCTACTATGTTCACACCTTCCCACAGTTTCACGTTTATCACTCATGCTTTTCCCACGTGGGGTTGGGTCATGTTACTTTTTTTTAATGGTCTCAACTAAAAAAATTTTATAACAACAAATAAAATAAAATAAAGATACGTTTTTCAAAAAAGCTAATCTCTCAATCGTATAGATAAATAAACCAAATTAACTTATAAATATAAACTACAACCATTGATTATGATGTTTTTGGAGTTTAACATTATAAAGAAACTAATTTTAAAGAAATTAAGCGGACTACAATAGACTTGGAGAACCTCATAGAGAAATTGAGACCTTCCAAGTTAGGTGGCTTGCAGGATTGGAAGACAAATAACTTGAGATTAAAGATAAATTAAGATAGAAGTCAAACTTTGAAAACTAATATGCAATTTAAATAACAAGATTAAACCACAAAACTAAGAATTTAAACAATTAAACATTAAGAGAAGGAGGTTGCAATATAAATAGGCTTAATGTTTCGGAAAATGAAGAACTTTACGCTTTTTAATAATTTTAGCTCGTTTTTTTTTTTTTTTTAACTTTTGATAGAAAGGTCTCCAAGTAAGTCTTCGATAACAATACTAGTATAGATATGATTTTCGGACCAAAATTTCGAGCAAAGTCGACATAGTAGTTGACAAAGCATGACAATTAGACTTTAAATGCCATGTCGGATCCATATAAGCTTTGATGTGGAAAATCAATTACAAAACTTAAAAGACATATCATCTCCTATATACCTTAATTACAATAAAATGCCCAATCCCTAATTCAAATTAACCTTAACCTTTTTTTCTTCATTTTAATTTTGCACTTACATGCCTATCGCCTATTTCTTTCAATTTTCCTAGTACCTCGTTCTTTCAAATTTCCTTCTTCTCCTCCTTCATCCGCCTTCATCTTGAATAGAATCGAACCCATAAATCCTCCCTTGTTCCTCCTTTATATTTTCCTTCCTTTTTCCTAGAATTGATTCCACGATCTTCTCTTCTTCCTCCTCCTTCTTCTCCTTTCTTTTTTACATAATTGAAATCTTAAATTCAAAAAACCCTAAATCCCTAACCCTAGCCTATCATTTTCTTTCCATTTCAAGTTTGTAAAACACACCATCTTGTTTTTTCTTCTACTTCGTCTACCTTCATATTCTCATAATCAATAGAATCCATAAACCATTATTTCCTTTATCTCATATGAAACCAAAAGACCATCATCTCCCTTATTCCGTCTTCGTCTTCTCCTTCCCTCTTATCCCTCGAACCCACATACCCTTCAACCCCATTCTCTCCTTACGTCGGGAAGCAATTGCTATAGTTTTACAATTGAAAACTCAAACCCTTCTCTTTGCCTAATCCCCTAAATGCTAAATACCAAACCCGAGAGACAAAACCTCAAGCAAATCCTCCTAAAACACTAATCACATAATTCAAAATCCCAAACCACTATACGTTCAACAAAATCCCTTCCTTAATAATTATTCTAAAAAAATTCAAATCTATGACCCATATAGACTAATTATTTATGGGGCAATTGAAATATCTATAAATAATAGCTTCAACATGGATAAAACTTAAGAAATATCTTCCTCAAGTTTCAATTTGCCTTTATGCAAGCATAATATGGAGACAAACATATATATTTTATGAATAAAATCGAACCCGGGGAAGAGGTTCCTTTCGTCGCTCATATTGGAAAGTATTGTTTTTTGAAAATGAAATTCATGTTCCTCCTCATATTGGAAGGTATTGTTCTTTAAAATCTTGTTTGA